AATTCTATCAATTTCAAACAAGATTAAAAAGCAGAATAACTGGGATGTCTGGGTGGCTCAGTGAGGCAACTGCCTTCAGCTCAGGTCATGGTCTTGGGATCGAGCTCCTGCTTCTCCCTCTCCCACTCCCCTGCTTGTGTTCCCTCTCTTTCTGTCAAGTAAATAAATAAAATGTAAAGGAAGGAAGGAAGGAAGGAAGGAAGGAATAAAAACAAGAGAACTTGTTTTATTCTCTTTAATCAAAGGCAAACCGAAAAGTTATAGAAACATCTGGAAAAAAAACAACACATGATATATTCATTATTAAAAGGCTAAAATACTAAAATTAACAAGTCAGGAAATGACAGATGCTGGCGAGGATGTGGAGAAAGGGGAACCCTCCTACACTGTTGGTGGGAATGCAAGCTGGTGCAACCACTCTGGAAAATGACATGGAGGTTCCTCAAAATGTTGAAAATAAAACTACCCTATGACCCAGCAATTGCACTACTGGGTATTTACCCTAAAGATACCCTAAAGATACAAACGTAGCGCACATGCACCCGAATGTTTATAGCAGCAATGTCTACAATAGCCAAACTATGGAAAGAACCTAGATGTCCATCAACAGATGAATGGATAAAGAAGATGTGGTATATATACACAATGGAATACTATGCAGCCATCAAGAGAAATGAAATCTTGCCATTTGCAACGACGTGGATGGAACTAGAAGGTATCATGCTTAGCAAAATAAGTCAATCGGAGAAAGACAACTATCATATGATCTCCCTGATATGAGGGAGAGAAGATGCAACATGAGAGGGGTAAAGGGGGTAGGAGAAGAGTAAATGAAACAAGATGGGATTGGGAGGGAGACAAACCATAAGTGACTCTTCATCTCACAAAACAAACTGAGGGTTGATGGGGGGAGGGGCGTTGGGTGAGGGGGGGTTGGATTATGGACACTGGGGACGGTATGTGCTACAGTGAGTGCTGTGAAGTGTGTAAACCTGGCGATTCACAGACCTGTACCACTGGGGATAAAAATATATGTTTATAAAAAATAAAATTAAATTTTAAAAAAAGGCTAAAATACTATCATTTTGATCCACATTTAATCCCCGACAAAATATCTTTCAAAGTGAAGGTGAAAATAAAGGCCCTTCCAGATAAGCAGAATACCTTCAGAAAAAGAAATACAAAAGATAGTTCCTTAGGCAGAAGTGATCCCAAGGGAAACATGGAAATGAAAAAAGGAATGAAGAGCAACGGATATGTTAAATATGTGATAATATTATATGTTAATATATTTATTATTAAGTGATTATTGATAATTGATTGATAATTATGTTAATATATTTGTTGATAATATTTGTTATAATGGATATGTTAAATATGTGTTAATATTTATTTATTAAATAAATCAAATAAATATTACTGTCCCAAGCAATAATTATAATGTCTGTGTGATTTAAATATATTTGAAATAAAATTAATAACAACAGGAGGGCAAATGAAATATTCAGTAAAGTCCTAGTGTTGCCAAATTTACTGGAGAGGCCCTGGGGGCCTTGGGTTGACCCAGTCTGTCCCAAAGGTGTTGCTGAAGGTGCTTGGTCTTGTCCCAAGAAAGAATTCAAGGACAGACATGCAACATAGCGAAGAGTAAGTAACACCAGCAAGAAAGTTTATTAAACTAAAAGATATGCTCTCAGGATAGGAGAGCTGGTGAGCTAGAGAGAAAGAGAGGGAGAGGGAAGGTGAGAGAGGGAAGGAGAGAGAGGGAGAGTGCTCTAGCTATGGGCTCCGGGGTTGGGTTTCAATCTTTTATTGACAGTTGTTAAGTAAGGAATGGAATATTCATTACTTGGGGTGGGGATTTCTTCGAAGCAGGGTTTCTCATCTTTTCATCCTTATCTGGTCAGGGGTTTCCGGTCATGGCACCAACCACCTTCATGTCTGGTTTGATCCAGTTTATGTGGCCTGCTGCCAGGACAGGCCTCTGACTTTCCTGATAGCTGGCCATGACTTACAACTCTCTGCTGGGCTCTAGCTATCCTGTTAGAACCTAACTTAACTGCCTACTCCAACACTAACATAGTCTAGAAAATATGAAAGTTCTAATTTATATTAGAGTCTTTTGTTTAGATTTTACAGAAGACATGAAACTTAAAAAAAGGTATGTGTCAGGAGGTAACTAAAAGCTAAACAATTATTTTTGTGTAATTTCAACAATTTAAAAAAGATAATCTTGTTCTTATGCTAACAATATGTTACTATTATATAATTTACAAACAATGCACCTATGTAAAGTATACAATTGGATGACTCTCGACAAATGTGTGCAGACCAAACTTTACAGAACATCAACTCATTAAATTTTCCTCATGTAAATTACTATTCACAATACCTCAAAGAAGCTACCACTCTTCTGATTTCTAGACTACAACTTAGTTTTGCCTGTTCTACCAGTTCTGGGACTTTATGTAACTGGAATCATACATGAGTAACTCACAGGAACATTAAAACAGCTGTGTTTCAGGGGCGCCTGGGTGGCCCAGTCGGTTAAGCATCTGACTCTTGATTTCTGCTCAGGTAATGATCTCAGGGTTGTAAGACTGAGCCCCGCATCAGGCTCTGGAACCTGATTACAATTCTCTCTCTCTCTCTCTCCCCCTATCCCTCTGCTCCTCCCCTGCTCGCTCTCTCAAATAAATGAATAAACCTTTTCTTTAAAGCTGTTTTAGATACTCAAAATCGTCCTTTTGCAGAGGCATCCTTTGCTGAACATACTGTTTTGGAGGGATTTATTCATGTGACCATATGTCATTTGATCATTTATATTGCTGAATAGTAATCCACAGAATAGAAAAATTTGTCAGTTCCCCTGCTGATAGACATTTGGGTTGTTTCTAGTTTCTGCCTAGTATGAATAACACTGCTATGATCATTTCGTAGAAATCTTTTTGGATATATACATTCATTTCTCTTGGGAAATAAATAGGAGTACTATTGCTGGGTCATAGGATAGGTGTATGTGTAGCTTTTTGAAGAACTCCTCAAAATCTTGCCAAAGTGGTCGTGCTGGCTTACAGTCCAGCACCACACGGCAGTATCATTACACAGTCCCTTAGGAGTTAGGGAAGGATAAGGCAGCAGTAACAACTTTCAAAATTAGTTTTTCAAACTACCTTTCTTCATCTTCTTCCACATCCTTTGAAGGATGTGTGGAGATGGCCATGGTCACACCAACAGGTCCTACTACTGGCCTCTCCAAGCCTGAGAGCAGAGCCACAGAGACAGTTAACCAGGGCATCCCACCCAAGTTGTAGGCTCTTCAGCCCTAGACAGGCCTGTCGGTAGCACAGGCAGGTAACACCGGCTCTCAGAGCTGACTGTGGAACACACAGGAATCCACCATTACTAAAAATTAAAGTGTATCAACTTAACAATTAATTACATCAGGGATGCCGGGGTGGCTCAGTGGGTTAAGCCACTGCCTTCGGCTGGGGTCATGATCTCAGGGTCCTGGGATCGAGCCCCACATCGGGCTCTCTGCTCAGCGGGGAGACCGCTTACCCTCCACCCCTGCTCTGCCTGCCTTTCTGCCTACTTGTGATCGCTCTGTGTCAAAAAAAAAAATTTAATTAAATTTAAAAAAAAAAAGTAAGATTGAGACTCTTGATCTTCGGGTGGTGAGTTTGAGCCCCACACTAGGAATAGAGAGTACTTTAAAAAAGTTGATTGATAGTATCAGTAAAAGAGCACCCAAATATTAAAACTGGCTGGTAAGAGGGGCACCTGGGTAACTCACAGTCAAAGTGTCTACCTTTGGCTCAGGTCATGATCCCAGGATCCTGGGATTGAGTCCTCCATCGGGCTCCCTGCTCAGTAGGAAGCCTGCTTCTCCCTTTGCCTCTCCCTGCTCCTCGTGCTCCCTCTCTTGCTCTATTGCTCGCTCTCTCTCAAATAAATAAAAGCTTTAAAAAAAACTGGCTGGCAAGAGGGGTGGTCTCCACTGATAGAGACATCTAGGGAGAAACAGGCAGCCTTATGTTGCCTATGGGAGGTCCTCAGAAGGCATCGCTTTCTCAGGTTCTGTAGCTACCAACATTCTAATTCTGTGATTACAACTTGAGACATGGAAACCGGAGTCCTTTCCATGGCACTATTGTTGATGTCCCAGTGACTTCGGATTTGACCTGTGGTATCTCAAATTTTGTTTCTCCCTTCATGACTCTCAAAACTTGTCAGTGATTTAAAGGCTTTCTGATTTCTGAAGGGACACTCCCAGGAAACTTTATCTCAACTGTAAGAATCAAAAATACTCAACTCTTGGGGCGCCTGGGTGGTTCAGTGGGTTAAGCCTCTGCCTTTGGCTCAGGTCATGATCCCAGGGTCCTGGGATCGAGCCCCACAACGTGCTCTCTGCTCAGCAGGGAGCCTGCTTCCTCCTTTCTCTCTGCCTGCTCTCTGCCTATGTGTGATCTCTATCAAATAAATAAATAAAATCTTTAAAAAAAAATACTCAACTCTTGGGGCATCTGAGTGGCTCAGTCAGTTAAGCGACTGACTCTTGATTTTGGCTCAGCTCATGACCTTAGGGTCATGAGATTGAGGCCCATGTTGGTCTCTGTTCTTTGCATGGAGTCTGCTTGAAATTCTCTCCCTCTCCCTTTGCCCCTCCCCCAACTCACATGTGCTCTAAATAAATAAATAAAATCTTTAAAAAAATACTCAACTCTTACTCGGTTTAAAGCCCATTTGATTTCATTTGTTTATTTCTTTTTTTTTTAAGATTTTATTTATTTGAGGGAGGCAGAAGGGAGAACAGAGGGAGTGAGAGGAGAAGGAGACTCTCTGCTGAGCAGAGAGCCTGACGTGGAGCTTGATCCCAGGACCCTGAGATCATGACCTGAAGGCGGACACTTAACTGGCTGAGCCACCCAAGCGCCCTTCATTTGCTTATTTCATTGTTTCCTTGTTTGTTTTAACCTAAGACACCTCTGGGCCCTCCTCTTCCTCCTCACAGCACCATCTCCCCCTACTTGCTATATCCTTCCTCCAACCAAATGAGTAACCAGGGTCCTCATGGCTGAGGAGGAACTCTTCAAGGGGGCACATTGTAGGTGTCATCTTTTACCTCCTGGTAGGTTCTCCCCTACCTTCCTTTATTCTCCTATGGGATCCTCTTTAGTAACCCAACTCTATAAACCATAATTTTGTTTTGATTCCTCTAGGTACCTTTAGAGGAAAGCCTGGCCATTGTGGAGACCCAGACAAACATCTCTTCCATCTTTCCTTTTAAAGGAAGCAGTAAGAGGTTCTTCATGAGAAAATGCTCCAACTAAAAGCTGGAATGCAGCGACCCCTAGAAAAGGGACCTGCTGAGAGGAGAGTGGATGGGCAGCAGACTCAGCCCGAGGAGGCAGGATCCTCCTCTGTGTCCCACAACGGGTAAGAGATTTCCACTGTCAGAATTAAATCATTGCTCTCACAGCAGCTTTCAGGGTCTGCATCCAGGCTCTGTAGTTTAATTATAGGGCTTTCTCTAAGATCTTTCTGGAAATTCTTTAGAGAAAAGCCTAGAGTGTTTTTTATTATCAGTTACTTTTATTATCCTGAGAAAGTTGGTTTTATTCTAAGTAACAATGCATATATATTCACCAAATACACCATCTTAATGATTGGGATTTCATGGAACTCTCCCAATTACATCAGTAATGTCTCTTTTCTGCACTGATGAGAGCACCTAAGAATCTCCTGTTATCTCAGGAGATTCCAGGACAATCAGATTGTTCCCGGTTTCTGGAATGGCAATCATGATAAGTTCAGGTCTTGAAATAAGCACAGGAAATTGCCAAATAATGGCCTGTTGGCTACATTTGTCAGTGTTTTTAATGGCTGTTTGCTTACAGCTTTTTGAAAAAGTCATTATGTGTTTGTTTGACCAAGAAAGAGAGAGAGAGAGAGCACAAGCAGGGGAAGCAGGAGAGGGAGAAGCAGACTCCTCACTGGGCAGGAAGCATGACCTGGGGCTCAGTCCCAGGACCCTGGGATCATGACACTTAACCAACTGAGCCACCCAGGCCGGCCCAGTTTGCTTACAATTTTTTGAAGGCATTAAAATAATATGGAGTTAATCCATTATACAGTTACCTGTGAACACCAGTTACTGACATGCCACATCATAACTAACTTGCTTAGAGGTTGGGCACAGCTCTGAAGGTGATAAAATTCTGCTTCATGCTTCATTGGGTCACAGTCAGTATGAACCACTTAAATTTCACTGACCCAGAGAAGAACATTAGAGCTAAAATAATCTTAAAATCAGTTCGTCTTGTTTCCTCATTTCAGACCAGAGAACATTCAGGCCCAAAATATGGTTGCTTGATTAAAGTTGCAGCCTTTGGCAGAAGTAATATGAGAAACTTGGAATCTTAATTTACAAAGTCTACATCCACTTTGTCAAATACATTTTAAAAATTTATAGTCACATAATTATTCTTTTTTTAAAAAGGCTTTGTTTTTAGAGCAGTTTTAAATTCAAAGCAAAACTGAGTGGAAACTACAAAGTTTCCGTATATCCCCCCAACCCTCCCCCATCTCCACACATGCATAGCCTCCCCCCGCCCCAGCAACATGCTGTCCCAGAATGGTATATCTGTTACAATCAATGAACATATATTCACACATCATTATCACTCCAAGTCCATAGTTTACACTAGGATTCATTCTTGGTGTTATACTTTCTTTTGTACTTTTGACAAAAGTACAATGATATGTATCCACCATTAGAGTAACATATAGAATGACTCTTCACTGCCTTAAAAAAAATACTCTGTGCGGGGCGCCTGGATGGCACAGTGGGTTAAAACTTCTGCCTTTGGCTCAGGTCATGATCCCAGGGTCCTGGAATCGAGCCCAGCATCAGGCTCTCTGCTCAGCAGGGAGCCTGCTTCCCCCCTCTCTCTCTGCCTGCCTCTCTGCCTACTTGTGATCTCTGTCTGTCAAATTAATAAATAAAATCTTAAAAAAAAATACTCTGTGCTCTGCCTACTCATCCCTCCTTCCCTTTTTTTTTTAAGATTTTATTTATTTATTTGACAGAGAGAGAGAGATCACAAGTAGGCAGAGAGGTAGGCAGAGAGAGAAGGGAAAGCAGGCTCCCTGCTGAGCAGAGAGCACGATGCAGGACTCCATCCCAGGACCCTGATAGGAAGGCAGAGGCTTAACCCAACGAGCCACCCAGATGCCCCACTCCCCTCCTTTCCTTCTAATCCCTGGCAACCACCGGTCTTTTTACTGTCTGCACAGCATTGCCTTTCCCAAAATATGATCTAGTTACAATCATACCCTATATAGCTTTTTCAGATTGGGTCCTTTCATTTAGTAATATACATTTAAGATTCCTTAATGTCTTCTCGTGGTTTTATTGCTTCTTTCTCTTTAGTGTTAAATAATATTACATTTTCTGGATGTGCCTGTTTATTTATAAATTCACCTCCTGAAGGACATCTTGATTGCTGCCAAATTTTGGCAATTATGAGTAAAGCTGCTATAAGCATTGTGTAAGGTTTTTACATAGACATAAGTTTTCAACTCATTTGAATAGTGAGGAGCACATCTGGATCATATGTTAATAGTACGCTTAGTTTTGTAAGAAACCACAAAACTGTCTTCCCAAGTGGCTGTAGCATTCTGCATTTCCACCAGCAATGATGAGAGGATCTTTTGCTCCCCATCCTCATTGGTGCTATCAATGTTCCAGATTTTTACCATTCTAATATGTGGTGCTCATTGTTTTAATTTGCAATTCCATACTCACCTATGATGTTAAGCAACTTTTCATATGCTTATTTGCCATTTGTGTATCTTCTTTGATATCTGCTCAGGTCTTTTCCCCATTATTTGATTGGCTTGTTCATTTCTTTTTTCTTTTTTTTTTTTTTTGGTAAGATTTTATTTGTTTATTTGAGAGAGAGAACATGAGTGGGGGGAGGGACAGAGGGAGGAGGAGAAGGAGGGTCCCTGTTGAGCAGCCTCAATTCCAGGACTCTGGATCATGACCTGAGCCAAAGGCATATGCTTAACTGACTGACTGAGCCACCCAGGCACCCCCATTCATTTTCTTTTTGTTGAGTTTGGGGAGTTCCTTGTATATTTTTGATAATTGTTCTTTATTAGATATGTATTTTGCAAATGTTTTCTCCATGTCTATGATTTGTCTTCTTATTCTCTTGACCATGTCTTTTACAAAGCAAAAGTTTTTCATTATAATCAAGTCCAGATTATTATTTCTTTTATGGATTGTGCTTTTCGTATTTGTATCTAAAGAGTCCTTATTAAACTGAAGATCATTTAGACTTTCTGCTTTGTTTATCTTTTAGGAGTTTTATATTATGTATTTAACATTTAGTTCTATGATGTATTTTGAGCTAATTTTTGTGAAGGATTTAAGCCTTGTCTAGGTTCCCTTTTTTTTTTTTTTTTTTTTGCATATGGATGTCCAGTTGTCCGGCACCATTTGTTGAAAGACCGTATTTTCTCCATTGTGTTGCCTTTGCTCCTTTGTCAAAGATCAGTCACCTATATTTTGGTGGGTCTGTTTCTGGGCTGTCCATTCTGTTCCATTGGTTTGTTCATTCTTTTTTTTTTAAGATTTTATTTATTTATTTGACAGAGAGATAGAGATTACAAGTAAGCAGACGGAGGGAGAGGGAGAAGCAGGCTCCCTGCTGAGCAAGAAGCCCGATGTGGGGCTCGATCCCAGAACCCTGAGACCATGACCTGAGCCAAAGGCAGAGGCTTAACCCACTGAGCCACCCAGGCACCCCGGTTTGTTCATTCTTTCACCAATATTACACTTTGTTGATTACTAATAACTTTACAGTAAGTCTTGAAGTCAGTAGTACCAGTCATGTGACTCTGTTCTTTTTTGGATATTCTGGTTCCTTTGCCTCTCCATATAAACCTGAGAATCAGTTTGTAATATCCACAAAGTAACTTGGTGGGATATTGACTGGGATTGCTTTGAATCTTTGGATGAAGTTGGAAAGAACTGACATCTTGACAATATTGAAGCTTCCTATCCATCAACATGGAATATCTATCTCTCCATTTATTTAGTTCTTTCTGATTTTCTTTCATCAGTTCTCATTTTCCTTATTTAGATCTTACACATATTTTGTTAGATTTTTACATAAATATCCCATTTGGGAGATGTTAATGTAAACGGTACTCTTTTCAATTTCAGATTCCACCTGATCATTGCTGGTATAGAGGAAAGCAATGGATTTTTGTATATTAACCTTGTATTCTGCAACCTGAGTTTAATCCCTTTCAAGTTTCAAGAGTTTTTTGTCATCCTTTCAGATTTTCTACATAGACAATTGCGCCGTTTGCAACAAAGACAGTTTAACTATTTCTTCCTTTCCAATCTATAAACCTTTTATTTATTTATTTATTTATTTATTTATTGGTCTTACTGCATAGACTAGGACTTCCAATATGATGCTTAAAAGGAGTAGTGAGAGGGGACACTTTCAGTTTGTTTCTGATCTTAGTATAGTTTCTTGGGGCACCTGGGTGGTTCAGTGGGTTAAAGTCTCTGCCTTCGGCTCTGGTCATGATCCCAAAGTCCTGGGATGGAGCCCTACCTAAGATTGAGCCCCACATTGGGCTCTTCGCTCAGCGGGGAGCCTGCTTCTCTTCCTCTCTCTCTGCCTGCCTCTCTGCCTACTTGTGATCTCTGTCTGTTAAATAAATTTTTTTTTAAATCTTAAAAAAAAAAACTTATAGTTTCTTACCACTAAGTATGATGCTAGCTGTTTGTTTTTTGTAAATATTCTTTATCAAGTTGAGGAAATTTCTCCCTGTATTCCTAGTTTAACAAAAGTTTGTTTGTTTTTTTTAATCATGAATGGGTGTTGGATTTTGTCAAATGCTTTATCTGCATCTGTTAATATGATCATGTGAGTTTTTTCCTCGTTAGCCTGTGATGGGACAAATTACATCAGCTGATTTTCAAATATTGAAATCAGCTCTGCACATCTGGAATGAATCTCACTTGATATATTACATAATTCCTCTTACACATTGTTGGATTCAATTTATTAATGTTTTGCTGAAGATTTTTGTATCTGTGTTCATGAGAGATATTGTTCTGTAAGGTTTTCTTTTTTCCCTTTGGTTTTGGTATTAGGGTAATGTTAAGCCATTCCAACAAAATGAGTTGGAAAGTATCTCCTCTTCTTCTATCTTCTATAGAAAGACAGTAGAGAATTGGTATAATTTTTTTCTTAAACATTTGGTAGAACTTATTGTGAGCTCATCTGGACCTGGTGCTTTCTGTTTTAGAAGGTTATTAATTTTTTTTTTAAATTTAAGTAGATGCCATACCCAGTGTGGAGCCCAACATGGGGCTTGAACTCACAACCCTGAGACCAAGACCTGAA